TATGTTCCACTGCTTATTGTCCTCTTTCTCCTTCTTCATTCAAATGATCTACTTGCCTCAGCAGTCTAAAGAGCAAATAGCAACTAACAGAATTTCACAACAAAGTATCTTATTTATTACACTTACAGTATATCACTTCTATAATCACTGTTTTCTACTTCTTTTTATTCTATGCCCTAGCATTAGTTTCTGTAGACTCACATGAATCATGTGCAAAGAGAGGAAGGGTGATAAAAGATGAGGTCTTTATATTGTTGCGTTATTCCACGATAATGGAACACCATGAGAGGAACATGTCGCAGAAAAATCTATATTTAAGAAGTGTCATATATAGAGATGAGCACAAACCTCGGTTTGGAGGTTTCTATATTTAAGAAGTGTCATATATGGAGATGACCACAAACCTCGTTTTGGAGGTTCATGCTGGTTCATATGCATCCTGCCCCCCCCCCAAGCCAATGACCTGCACACCAGTCAGAGCACACTCCTCTCCTCCTCTCCTGCCCCCCCACAGCCAATGACCCCGCACACCAGTCAGAGCACACTCTCCTCTTCAGCTGCTCAGCCAGCCTCTGGCAGAAACAGGTGTTTGCCTGTTCTGCCTCCTTGTCTGAGTGGGTGATCTAGGGCAGGGAAGCTCCTGCCAGAGACTGGTCAAACGGCCAAAAAGGAGGTGGAGAGGAGCGCACGCTGGCTGGTGAGTGGGGGAACCAGCCAGGGAGGTGGGGAAAGGGAACGTGCAACACTTGCTGTGCAGTGTGTACAAACCGGCATGAACCTCCAAACCGAGTGCTAACACATTATGTTCAGCTCCTGAAGCAGGAGGACAAATGTGGATTTGACGAAGCACTAAGATTTTTACCACTTCCTCACATAATGCTAAAGCACAGTTCAGTGCTGTATTCACAGGCAAAAATGACTTGTATAAACTCTTGGGTCTCTCTTACACACCTGTTCTCCTATCTGAGAAAATAAACTAGAATTGAGATTCTAATTTAGTAGATTCCAGGCTTCTTCTTATGTGTGAATCAAGAACTGTAGTTCTTAAAAAAATAGTCTAGGGGCTAAACAAGGCAACAAAAACCTCTGGATTTAACAAACTGGAGCCCATTTTAAGCCACAGTTCCTGCTTCATGTGGAATAACAATCTGCTGAAGCAGAACTGAATTGTGCCTTACTTCCACTTGGCCATGTGGAATAGGAGGGGACTGTGTAATGAACCTGTTGCTTTCCACAGGAGATCTTCTGCCAAATCAGAGTTCAACATTATGTAAAAGAGGTTCATTTAAAAATTACTTTGATATATAAAATTTAAGTTGCTTTGTTTGATATAAAGTGGTTAATGTAATTCTACAAACTCCTTAAAGCAAAGATGTGAACAGTTGTTTGCTTACTCCCTTCAGGCTAACACAACTGTTACTTTTTTACATCGAAACAAAACAACTCTGTGCACAAGTTAAACGAGTATGCCTGATCTCCAGTTGTCCAAAACAGTCATGTATGAACAGTATCATATCAAGAGGTATTTCAGTACAGTAGTTTGAGATTCCATGATTTGGGGAAAGGTAATATTTATTTATCTTGTAGCCTTGTAATAGTATCAGGTTTATTGTTAAGTCTATAAATTTTCAAACTGAGAAGCCTCCTTGAATCATCAAACTTTCAGTTAGAACAAGTTTTAGGGCCTTGTAGGATTGCTGATATAAAAATGAATTAAATACTTTGATAAAGCGTTTTTGCACCTAAGTATCTTTATGATTGTGGGTTTGAGTGTTTTGTCATGACTTATATTATTTAATATCTTAAACTAAACCAGTGCAAACTAAAGCAGGGTATGATGTAGACATAACAGTATTTTTGTTTCCCTGTCACGTTGTTTTCCTAAATATATCTCACAGTCCTTTGTTTTGCCATAGGTGTTCTAAGGTTCTTGCCAATTCCCCATTGAGTCTCCAGCTGCCTGGGGAGGGGGAATTACTCAGTGTGGTAAGAAAAAGAGAGAAATGATACAATGGAAAGTGAAACAGAATTAAAGAAGACCCGCAGACACAGGATTCTGTTTTAGCCCTATCTTTTAGATCATGTGTTTCTTAAATTACTACAGTACTTTACAAATGTTATTGTTGTATAGTACCTAGCAAATTTAGATACTTGTTAAGTAGGATGATGATAAGCAGCACAAGTGGGGAAAAAGTACTGTATATCTCCCTATTTAAGAAGAGATGATATTGGCTCCTAGCTTCAGTTTGATATGAAATTTGGATAACTTCTCTGTCTGAACTGGATGTTACCACTGAGTCATTCAAACAGCTATGAGACATCTGAGCAGTCTCCAGGGCGTTCATATCTGGTAGAGAAGATGATCAGATTTTCTGTCTGTAAACAGACTGAGTGACCTAACCCTACAATTATATCTTTCTCTTCATACATGAACATGCAGGATTCTGGAGAACTAGGAGGAGGATTTTTAAAAAAAAAAGTAAATCTACATTACCAGTTATCTCAGGAACCTGGACTCATGGAGAACACAAAAATAAAAATGTTCATTTAAAGGCACACCTTGTAAACTGGATTGTTTTTCTGCTAACAACCTCCACATATTTGTGAACTTGCTTAACTGTTGTGGCATCAAATGCATTGTGCCCGTAAAAGGGTGCATATACCAGCATTTTAGATCCTATTAATTTTACCCCAGATAAAAAAACTTTCAAGCTTACACACAAAACAAAACCTACAACATTCAGCTTGATATCCTACAGCCATCCTCCTCATTCCTTCCTCTGTTGCTCAGTGGCTGGTCACTTGCCTTGCTTTCACTCCATCTTCAAGCTAACAGATCCAGCCCAACACTTTTTTCAAGATGGTGCAGCTGCTCTCCCAACCAAGAGGATGGAATGTTTGCAGAACACTTGCCAACATAGGAATAAAGTCTCTGAATAAGCGTGGGGGGGGGGGAGAGCAAAACCTATCCTTCTCAGTTATACCCATAATTTTATCCTAGAGCAAAACAAATGGAGAAAGCTAAATTAATCAGGTTCAATACTCAAAATGTACACTGCAAACACTCATTTACATCCTTGAAGATCAGCATCACTCATAAATGGGGATGAGTGGAGACATCACACACTAGCAGGAAGTTTCCTATTAACCCCAAAACACATAAGGCAGGAGGAGAAAGCATAAAGAAACTGGTGCCCTAAATAACTTAGAATAGCAGTGCCACTTGTGAACTGCTTAAAGGTCTTGCTAATGTAGACAAAATTCAGGGGACACACTGGGAGGAATTGAGCATGGCCTTAATAAAAATAACATAAAACATATTCCTAATTATGCAGCATGTAAAATGGTTCTGTAAGGAACCCAGAGCAGATTGAGCTACAATCTACCTCAGTAAACCATTCCTTATTTGTTAGTTTACCTCAGCTAGCACTTACTGTCTCGATACATTTACTCAATACATTTACAATACATTTACGAGAAAGAATAAAAGTTTCAATTTACTCATAGTTCTTCACAGATAAAAACATATATCACAGGGTGGAAAAAATGTTTAACTTTTTACATCACGGAGCCTAACGGGTTAGTGAGCTTCATTACTGACTAACTGTAATGAAGACTCTGTCTTCAGATTCCATAACTAATACTGACAGAACCATGACTAGCTGTAAAAAAAAAAAGAAAGGAAAGGAATTTGGGGTAGAGAACTATTAGCTGTGTTACTAGATTGACTGACATTCAACTCCAGTCCAGAAAAGTCCCTCCCAGCTAAAAACTCCTTAAAAGGCATCATATGCAGGTTGCAATATATCCAACTGTCTGCACTAGAAACCATTGCTCTAGAACAGTGGTTCCCAATTCTGGGTCCTCAGATGTTAGTTAGTTAGTTAGTTAGTTAGTTAGTTAGTTAGTTAGTTAGTTAGTTAGTTAGTTAGTTAGTTAGTTAGTTAGTTAGTTAGTTAGTTAGTTAGTTAGTTAGTTAGTTATACATCCCCCGCCCATCTGGTCTAAAAGACCACTCTAGGCGGCTTGGACTACAACTCCCAGAAATCCTGACCAGCACAACTAGTGGTGAACACTTCTGGGAGTTTTCATCCAAGAACATAAAAAAAGGTTGGGAGCCACTGAACTAGAAGATTGCTGTTTCTACCCACATACTCCAGAACGTGCCTGCAAGAGACATGTTCAAAGACATGAGGAATAAAACAGCTTGATCTTCGCCTCCCACGGATTACACTCTAGCAGTTGACCACAGTTGTTGTCCATGGTTGCTGAGGGATTCTGGGAGTTGCATTCTTTAAAAGCTAACTTTTCCAAGTATTTTTTTTTATCTATTCCAAGTGATTATTTTAAGAATGTCAGCATATGCCCAACTTAATTATCCTTATTCCTGGCCTGACTTATTTTTTCTAGGAAAAGAGGGATTTATACAGGTTAGCTTGTAGAACCAAAAACAACAGTAAATAATAGCAAATTATCTATTTCTGTGAACCTTATTTTGGCTGCATTATCTGCACCCCAGTATCTGACAACTTGTTCTTGAGAAAGATGTTTCAATTGGGCCATTTTATAACAACAAGAAAATCTATTTTCAGTCCATTTCATAAAAGAGAAAATCAAAAATCACAAAAGTTCTTAGACTTCATACAAACTATCTTGGCCTGCAGTCTGAATATTCTAGTAAGAAAACAAAGAATTTGACACATGTACAAATTTAGCACAAAACAGAGCAGGCCAGGTTAAAAGCCGTTTTCCATAAGCATGATGTCCATGAATGAGGAGTAGATTTTAAAGTAAACCATAGTAAAGCATTCAAGTATGAAATCTCTCTCTTGCATTCTGCAGCATGACAATTGTAGAAAAACAATTGTATTTCTGGTTTCTGCTAGTATGAGCCCGTCCTCACTGAAATGCTTTCTCCAATAACTATTTCTAAAAACCAGTGAAAACAGCATGTAACCGTTGTAAATGTTTTCTAACATAAGACATTAAACAGATCTTACCTCAGAAAATCTTTGTATATCTTGGGTCAGAGTTCCCACTCTTTTCCATTTAAAATGTTTGAGCAATTTCAGAATTGCAGGATTCACAGCATTATCGGATGGCACTGTCCGGAAGAAATAAGGATACTTTTTCTTATCAGCTAACTCTGGCGTTGTTGCAGCAAATGAGAGCTGTAAAACAAAGTCATGTTTTTAAACTCTTGGTTAGCTTTGTTGTACAATCTTTGAGATACCAGTACAAGCAGATATTAACATTTAAAAAAACAGCAACAGATTATACACACTTCTGTATTTTTCTTTTTATATACAAGATATGTCCCTATTAAGCAATACCAGTACCGATTATCAAATATTATCCTATAAACAGCCAACTGCCACTATGTGGTTAAATTCTGAAAAAGTTCTTCTAAATTCACAAAATTTGAATCTGAGAGGATGGAAAATTGGAAATTTGCCCATCACTGTGAACAGAAAGATCAGGTAGAGGATCTGATAACTGCTTAGCAGGTTTAAGGTTGCTCAATAAAGCAAATTTCCATTTATGGACATTTACAAGATTAGTGCCAGTTTTGAAGGAACCCTGTGCAAAACGTCTTTCAAACTCCTGCCTGGCACCACCCTGCACATTTAAGGGGCACACACACAAACACACACACTCAAAATGAAAAGAGTCTCTGTGGGGGGAAAATCCATGAAGAAAAATGTGACGTCAGAAAGCAAAATATTCAGAAACATTTGCAGGAACATGTCATTTCCCCAGGATATTCCTTCACTGGCTTGAAAGCCATGTTGTCTGTATAAAGGTGCCCCCCTCAAAGTCAGATACCAGACTAAGAATGCTGATTTACAATGTATGGAGTAGTTAATTTCTTCTGTGTCTTGTAATGCCCCTTTTTACATTTAATTTCTTTGCTTAGAAACACCCCATATGCATAGACATGAATGCATGCACATGAACACAAATAGTACACAAATCTTGACTGGTATCGTGGGTTTGCTCCCACTGTTAAGACACTCCTGCGAGAATACGATGGGGATAAAACTTTGCCTAATACAAACTAAGCATGAAGCTAACTTGGTAAAAGGGTAGGGGGCAATCCACATTTCATATGCTCTGGACTCATGATAGCTTTCACTGCTATTATTAGCATCATGCATTGTTCTCCCACCCACACATCCAATACCATATATGAGAATTCTGGACATTCCTCTTTATGTTTCTTTTCTTTTTCCTTATATTTGCAATTTCTGGGCTGCAAGCAGTTGGAGATACATGTGCACAGGGAGGGTGAACGTGGATCCCTGCCCCCTTTTCTTTCTCTGGCCAACAGCCAGGGCCAACCTCACTGTTTTCTGGGCAGCAGAAGCTACAGCCTCCCAACTGCCCTTGGTTGTTGGCAGACACCAGAATGGTCTCCAGCCCTATAGCACATCAAGAATAGTCATCCTAGCACATGACATATTAGTTATTCTTTCATATGCTTATTAGTTGTTTAAATTTAGTATCATATATAATTGCAGTGGCTTTGACTTACACAATTTTAGGAGCCACAGTTCCTCATTCGGCTGAACAGAAAAGTAAAATATACAAAGGTGCAGCTATGTCAAAGCTTATGGACTACAGCCGTGTGTCATCAAATCAATTCCAAATTAAGGCAATCCTTTCCAACTGTTTCTAATTAAAGAACGCTCAAAATGGTTTATCGTTCCCTTCCTCTGGGGGAAATCTGCGACTGTGTAACTTCCCAATGACAAACAGGCTAGTTTTTTTCTCCCAGGAGGTACTATGAGGAATCAAACACACAACTTCTGGCTGCACGGCCAGCAACTCCAACTCACTGAGCTATCCAGCCACCTAGCAAGAACGATGACAATAGTTTTCTTCTGACTTAGTGTTTATTAAAAACTGAAAAATATTGGTTAATATTTTTATTATGGAATTCTTTTTTCTGGCTGAAATTCAGCAGTATAAAGCTAAGCTACATACGGCTGATGGTATCAACATCCATGGCCATTGTTCAGGAATTAAATGTTTCCGTCCCCACCCCACCCCTGCAAACAAAGATTCAAAGGCTCTGTTGGGATCTCCTTCATCTAAATGAAGCCACTGGGGGCAAGGGGATGAGAGGGATCTTTAATTCCTGAAAGACACTGCCAACAGTAAAACCATCCCAGCCATAGTGATTTTCAAAAAGTAAAGACTTCCCCACATCCCACAGCCCCCAGGGGCTTCTGCAGAATGAAAGATATCTCATGAGAGCCTCAGAATGTTCAAGCAGAGGTATAGGAAAATTTTACCTTCCCAAAAAAGGGCAGCAGTTGATGATATTGTCAGCCTTATGCAACATAACATTATGCTATGATTTAAAAAATAAAAATAAAATCAGTTCTAATTTAAATCAAATGTTATTCAATTCAGGTGTTTTTTCTTCTTAAAATGCTTCATTTTAAAAAAAGGTATTTGATGATAGTTTTAATTGCAATTATGTTCCAGTTCAAAGGTCTCAGTACAGAATTGTGATTAAATATTCTAATTAATGGCTAAAGGCCTGTTGCTTAGCTTATTTAAATCACAACTACAGTAGGCTCATTGAGTCAATGGAACATAGAGAAGAGTTGACCTACCTAATCTCCACTGATTCAGTGGGCCTACTCTAGCCACTTACTAATGTAAGCAACAGAATTTCAGCCATCATATTTATATATAGAGACCTTTTATAAATAGGGCCAAACAGTTCTTTGATTAGGGCTTCAATTATGCAAGGTTCCACAAGCTTCTGCGGAGAACAATTTTGGTTTAAATTTCACCTAATCTTACTGAGTCTAGTAGCTATCTGAAACATTTGTAATTCTCAAAATGGGTTTTTGTCTTCAAAGAGATATACTTGGAAATAGAAATGAAAAGTAACAGACTAGATCCTCCTCCTTCTCAACATGAGGGGACCGTACTGGAATGGATGCAGGAGAACGGGCTGAGGCTGAACCCGGACAAGATGGAAGTTCTGAGGGTGGGGGGCCCCATGGCTGGTGGCTTGGGTGGCTCTCTCTCATTTGGGGGAGTGGCCCTGGCTCCGGGGAGCGGGGTCTGCAGCTTGGGCGTACATTTGGACCCGACGCTCGCCATGGAAACGCAGGTGGTGTCGGTTGTCCGTTCCGCCTTTTTCCATCTTTGGTGGATTGCCCGGCTACGGCCCTACCTTGACACGGGGGTGCTCACCACCTTAGTACACGTGCTTGTAATCTCAAGATTAGACCACTGCAACGCGCTCTACATGGGGCTACCTTTGAGGTTGATGCGGAAACTTCAGATGGTGCAAAATGCAGCGGCCAGGCTCCTTACTGGAGTGAGAAAATACCAGCACATTTCTCCTACCCTGGCCAGACTGCATTGGCTGCCGATTCGTTTCCGCATCGATTTCAAAGTCTTAATGCTCGCTTATAAGGCCCTAAATGGTTTGGGACCTCGATACTTGGCGGAACGCCTTCTCCCATCAAAATCTACCCGGATCACCCGCGTGAGCCAGGAGGTGAGGCTGAGGAGCCTGACGCTGAGGAAAGCCCGGAGGGAAAAGACTCGAAACCGGGCCTTCTCGGCAGTGGCTCCTCACCTTTGGAACAATCTCCCTCCTGAGATTCGTGCGCCCCCTACGCTGGGTACATTTAAAACCCAATTAAAAACATGTCTTTACATCTAGGCCTTCCCTCCTGCCAGCATTTAATTTCCTTTCTCTTGGCTATCTATTATTTATCATTTTTTGATATGTTTTGTTGCTATGATTTCAATGATTTATATTGTTCTAATTGTATATATGCTGTTGTTAGCTGTCCAGAGTGGTAGAATTTACTAGATGGGCGGGATATAAATCAAATCAAATCAAATCAAATCAATCAATCAATCAATCAATAAACTACAAATTTTTTAAAAGCCACATTAAAATGTACAGAATTGCTTTCAATAGTATGAAGGACACTGGAAGAATCAATGAACAGAAGATTAAGGTTGTTAAATATTGATATTTTAAAAATATGTATGAAGGTTATTGCTTGCAAGATTAGTCTTTCTGAGCAGAGATTTAGATCATGCTTTAAACTATTATTTAAATCAAGTTCACCATATATACATTTGATACTGTCTGAAACTATCATCAATTAATGTTCAATATTATTTCTGTTTTCAATATTATGTGATATTTATTAGATGAAATTAGACATTCTTTTTTTAATTTACATGTCTATTTTAAGTCATTTTATGAAAGCACAGAAACTTAAAAGTAAAACAAGAGAAAAAATATTACCTACAACGTTCATAGTCTTTCAAGAACACTGAAGCATATAACTCTATGAAAAATGCATTTTATTAAGCTGCCACCAATACTTGTCAGTGTATTAACAAATTAAAAACTTATCCAAGGGAACATTAGTGATTAATTTGTTTCATTTAGAGACAAAGAATAAACAAAAAGGCTTATTTCATAATAACTTCTATTCTGGACTTGGCCAAAAGTACCAAAGTGTGGGGAAAGTCTGCATTAGCCATGAGTGACAGGTATTTCTGACCAAATATGACAGTAGCAAGGAAGGCTGTCAAGAAAAGAGCTTAGTGCTCTATGAAAGAAAATAATGTTGTGGAATTTTGCTTCTAGTTTATTTTCTGCATGTTCAAATCCTGCTTAGATGTATAGAATTATTCTAGAGACACTTCTTTTGTCACCATCCACACACTAGAGATACGTCAGCTCATATCTTCTAACCAAATCTTTAAAAGACAGCCTTGCTTTTGAATCTGAAGGCCTCTACAAACAATGCCATTAAAAAATAACTGCCATTCTGTAATTACTTTGTCTAATCTTTCAATAATAAAAAAGTTAAAACAAAATGAATAATAAAGTAACAAGAGGCAATAGAAAACATAGATGGAGAATTATTTGCCCACAGGGCATATGAGGAACTTGAGTATGTCAAGAGATATTGAAGGTATTTGGAAAAGCCTTCTTTGGGCTGAGACTGGGAGAGCTAAGGTATATTTTGGCAAACCATAACCTTTAAAAGACCCATATTATTTATAGCATAATACTGGTTTACCAAAAGGTAAAAATGGTTAATATATCTATGGATGGTTTGTCAATATTTCTTCATTGACCCAGGAAAGAGTAGGGTGAATTACTGTTGAA